AATAAACCACTGAAGCTCATTTAGTGAATTTGGACTTGGTATCTGAGTGATCTTTCTTAAAGTAAAAGCATTAATAGTTTTCCTGAGAAGTTAATAAACACTCACAGTCCCAACGTTGAACTTCAGTTCTGATTTGCAAATAAACAATGTCTCAGAATTTTGGATGGCTAACTTCTAAAACTGCAAAATAATAGAACTGTGTTTATACTGTTTCTTAATGATAATATTGTCTGCATGTGAAAAGTATCCTTTTCTACTTGCAAGCTTGTCAGAGCTTCAAGCTGTATATAACCTCAGTGTCTTTTTTGGACACAATATTCTTATGCCACAGATAAATCATGCCCATCAATAAGAGGCAATGATTTCACATATGCCATATAGGTTAAGGGAATGCACAAAGAATACTCAGCTTATAACCCAAAATGATTTTTTGCTTGCTATAACATTAAAAGCATCATTCTGTGAAGCTTGATACATTTCTTGTTTGTATGTTTTTGCTGTTGGATGCCGTTGAGTCGGCTCTGACTCATAGTGACACTATGTACAACAGAAGAAACACTGCCCAGTCCTGTGCCATCCTCACAGGATGCCTGAGCCCATCATTGCATTCAATCTAATTGAGGGTTTTCCCTCTTGCCTATGACCCTCCACTGTACAAGTATGATATCCTTCTCCAGGGAGCAATCCCACCTGATAACTTGACCAAAGTAGGTGAGATGAAATCCGGCCATTCTCCCTTCTAAGGAACATCCTGGCTGCACTTCTCCAAAGACAGATTTGTTCTTTCTTCTGCCAGTCCATGGCATATTCAGTATTCTTCACCAATACCATAATTCAAAGGCATCAATTCTTCTTTGGTCTTCCTTATTCATTGCCCAGCTTTCACATGCATATGAGACGATTGAAAATACCATGGGTTAGATGCACCTTAGTCTTCAGAGTGCCATCTTTGCTTTTTAACACTCCAGAGAAGTCTTTTGCAGCAGATTTTCCCAGTGCTATACGACATCTGTTTTCTTGACTATTGCTTTCATTGTTGATTGTGGATCCAAGTACAATGAAATCTTTGACAACTTCAATCTTTTTTCCATTTATCATGATGTTGCTTATTGGTCCAGTTATGAGGATCTTTGTTTTCTTTATATTCTTTTTTTGTATAGCATTATCCTAATTCAGACAAGCAGGTTATCTTGTTTAGACTCTCACAATAGATTCAAACTTGGCAATAGGAAAGTTATAGTAAATGCTAAAGAATTTTTAAGGATATAATGACTGGAATATATTTTATGATGATACCTGTTTTGAGCCTACAATTGTAAGATCCTGGTGATGGCATTAACTGAAATGTGAAGGGGAAACTTAGGAACTAGTATAAGATGCTGAGTCTGCCTTAGAGCCTGTTGGCTGTGAAATGCCAATGGGACATCCAGGTGAGGATATGCGGCTTGCAAGTAGAAAAGGATAACCAGAGCTCAGGAGAGACACAATTGTGGTCATTGAGATGAGGCTTGATGAGCTTACCAAAGGCAAGTGTTCAGTAGAAGCAGGTCTTCTAACCATTTCAAGATGATTCATTCATGGTCGAGGGAAACAAGGGCAGCTAACACACTGCATAGCAACCAAATCTCATACTTGCTGGATTTTGACCTGAGTAGGAAACAGGTAGTGGTGCCCTGCTCAAAATGACAGCCAACACACATTCAAAGTGGTGTGATAGGATGCCATCTTTGAACAGGGCACCATTGTGCATTTCCTGCTAGGGTCAAAATATGGCAGAAATTTGATTGGTATGCGATGAGTATGCTGCATTTGTTTCCCTCGGCCATGACTGAACTGTTTCAAACCAGTTAATTGCCCTGAGAAAAGGAATGAAACCTGAGGACACAACATTGTGAAGCAAAAGCTATTTAAGAAAGTGAGAGCAAGAAAGGAGCTTTCAGGAGTTTAGGAGAAGAACTCAGAAAAATTCGCTGGCATAGAAGGAAGCTGAGGATTCAAGGTCCAATAAATACTGGAGGAAAAGGACTGAGGAAAGGTTAGTGGATTTGGTATATAAGGAATCACAATGATCTTTAAAAGATAAAAATAACTTAATAGCATAGTGAGGCAGAAGCTGGGCTGCAGTAATAATAGAGCGAGAACTTAGCTCTGTGCTCAAGCTCTTTATTTATATAGCTCTGTGTTGAGTAAGTGCTCGACATCCCTGAACTTATTTATATAGGTAAAAACCCATTGAAGTAAATACGTTATTCCTCATATTATAGATAGAGACTGTGCAAGCTTTCCTTTAAATGTTGTTGTTAGTTGTTTTTGAGTCAGCTATGACTCATGGTGATCTCATGTATACCAACTCACTACAGTCAGGTCAAATCCGACTCATAGCGACCCCTCCTTGGGTTTCCAAGATGGTATCAGTATGGAAGTAGATTGTCCAACCTTCCTTCTGAGAATGAAACATTGCCAGGTCCTGTGTCCTCTTTGTGATCATTGGTATGTTTGAGTCCATTGTGACCATTGCATCAATCAATCAGTCTCATTGAGGGTTTCTCTTATTTTCAATGACCCTCACTTTGCCAAACCTGTCCTTTTCTAGTGATTGGTCTTTCCTGATGACTTGTCCAAAGTAAGCAATCTAAAGTCTTGCCGTCCTTTATTTGAAGGAGCATTCTGATTGCATTTCTTTAAAGATTGGTTTGTTGGTTCTTCTGGTAGACCACGGTATATTTTGTATCCTTCACCAACACCACCAATTCAAATGCATCTATTGTTCTTTTGCCTTCCTTTTTTATTGTCAACTTACTCCTGGATAAGAGATGATTAAAAAGACTGTGGCTTGGGTCAAGCTCCTGTTAGCTATCAGTGACATTTTTGCTTTTGAGAACTTTAAAGTGGTCTTTTCTCGTAGATTTGCCCAATGCTATATGCCATTTGATTTTGTGACTGCTGCTTGTATGGACCAAATAGAATGAAATCACTGACAACTTTAATTTTTTCTCTGTTCATCATGACATTGTTTATTGTTTATCACTCTACTCCTTAAAGATAGGCAGTATTATTACCTGTTTTACAGATGAGGAAATTAAGTCACACAGATCTGAAAATTTTTCCCAAGTCCATACAGTCAGCAACAGAATTGGCATGCGAACCTAGGCAGTCTGGCTCATACATTAATGTTGTTTTCCACTATCCTCACCTGCTTTTTGAAAAAAAAAAAAAAAAAAAATTAAAGAGTTTATTACATGATGAGGGTGTAGATGTGATAATGTAAGCTTACTTTTATGATGTTGGGTGGAAGAGGAAACAATGTCTTAAAAAAACATGAACCCAAAATGTGGGTCTTGGTCTGCAAGATTCAAGAGGAAATGGCAAGCATGGTGGCACGAATGAGAGAAAGCAGAAGATTATGATACAAGGCAGTTTTGAAATTAGAGCTATCTGAATTTGGCATAAGAAGGTCACACATGTATGCAAATTAGTTCATTGGCTTGCTGTCTTCTTTGGCCATCAGTTGAGATGGTAGTGCCAAAGCGATGGATATTTTTATGCAAAAACATGGCAGTGAGGATTTAGTATCACAGGGGAGTCCTGGGGGCCTGCTGGAATGAAGACTTAGAGGCAGCACTAGGGATGTGGGAGGTGCCAAAGCAAACAATGACTTATGGTCTTTGCTTGTTTCCTGGCTCTTTGCTCTTCCAATCTTTAAATTTTTGTTTTGGAGAGGAAACTGTGTATATTAATATTTGTGTTTGAATTATGCAAGCAGTCACCAATATTGGCATTTTAAAACAATAATACTTTCTGTAGGTTATGGAAGGTTCAACCAATAAAAGGATACCATCAGTGAGGCCAGGAGCTAAGACATTTGGCTATTAACCAAAAGTTCAGGAGTTCAAACCCACCAGGCATTCTGCAGGAGAAAAATGAGGCAGTCTACATCCATAAAGATTTACAACCTTTGAAACTCTATAAGACAATTCTACTCTGTTCTAAAGGGTTGTCATGAGTCACAGTTTGGTTTTTATGAGTGGGGCCATCTTTTTTTATAAGAAGGATGACAATCATTGTGGTTAGAATTAAGCACAGCTCTGAAAAACTCCTGCGATGAAAAATAATGGTAAGCAAATGTACAAATTATAATTTTGATACTTCTTTAATTAGCAGGAACATCTAAATAAAGAGCTTTTGCCTTGATTATGAAAACCAGTAAACAAAATGTGTTTTCATTTCTACGGGTACATTTAATTACTGCACAAATCCCATATATCCACCACTGAGCCAGGTTAATTCCACTCTTCCATGTGCAATGCTTCTGTTCAAGACAGGTGTCCTAATTAAATAAACTAATAATTTTGCAAGTAGAAGTACAAAAGCATAATTATCTAATTTGCTAATTGTTCAACCCTGTGAATTTGCATATTTGTTAGCTGCAACATAAACAAATAGTTTGTATATGCGAATCCTACAGTTAACACAGTGAAACCACTCTTTGGAGTAGCATTTCCTAAAGTGAGTTAATAGATGCCACATAAAAAGGGCTCCCTAGTCAAATCAGTATGAAAAAAATACTAGGTTAGGGAAAATTAAATAGCTTTGTTTCTGCAGGAGTTCTGAGGTACTGAAATGGGCTAATGTGCATCCTAACTTGGAAGAAGGTGATAACATCATGTGTGCTTCACAAGCTATTTATCTACAGGCCCCATTTTGGGGTGTGCTTCACAAATTACTACTGTGAGGCACTAGTATTCTGAGCAACACATTTGGGAAAATGCTCTTTTAGAGCTGTATTAACAATATGGGTGTTCTTACAGTATTTTTCCCCATCCTTCAAATGAATTAAAGAGGCATATGTTTTCATTTTCTATCTCTTGGTCTCTCTCTTTCTCTCTTTTACTTATTCTCTCTCTCCCTCTTTCTCTCTCTTTCTCACACATACACATACATGTTCTCTATAGCCGCTTACCATAAACATGTAAATCTGTTTTTATTTTCTTTTATTATAGGCATATTGACAGGCTTGCTACCCTTCAAAAACTATGCAGTGACCCTAACTGCCTGCACTTTGGCTGGCTGCACCGAGAGCTCACATGCATTGAACATCTCTACTCCACAAGAAGGTAAAGTAATTTCAAAGGTCTTGACTTCCACATTTCAGTCATGAATAATAAAATAGGAGAAGAGCTAAATGCTGCAAGGCCATTTGCTGGAAAACCCTAACCTAATTTGATGACAAAGTGCATTGCCAGGCCATAATTGCTCCATTTTTTGGGGGGGTGCGAAAATGAATCAAACTCCATACCCTTTAATGACATGCATCTTTAATAGCTGTAATGCAGATTAATGGGCTTTTTAATTGCTGTTACATTGTTCATGCAAGAGCCTTGTCATTAATATGAAGCATCTGAAAGATTAATGAAAGCTTCCTCATTTTACTATGGCTCAGAAGTAAATCTAGAGACAGTCTGACTAAAAAGAATTGATTGTATGGCACAGTATGAAATTGAGAATCAAACGGTTGATTTCCATGGTATCTTTTAACTGCTAAACACCAGCACAGACAACAATTATTTCAGTATGATGGAACTTCCAAATGCCAATTGAGGCATTTATTAATCACTGCTCGGTTCCTTCCGACTCAAGTCTCACTTTTGTTGTATTTGGAACTTACAAACTGTTGGCATAAATTAATGTTTCAGAAAGCCTATGTTAGGAAGGCAGTGAGAAAGAGAAAGTATTTTAGCACTCCACAGTGAAAGCTTTGCTCAAGCATCAGCACGCATCTCTTCAAGAAATAACAGCTCTCAAGACATTTGAAGCATTGTTACTTAATGCTTCTCTCTCCTGGAGGAGAGTATTTACACATTTCTTATGCTATCTAGTTTTAAAGTTATTGAGGAGATTTAAAAGCTTGATCTTTAGGAGAATAGAATCAGCTAGTCTCTTTCTCTTTTCTCCAGTATCTTTCCATTCCCTTTTCTTGCTACCTCTTTTTCTCCATCTCCCTATTTTAAATCCTTTAGAAAGCACCACATGCACAGAAGATATATAAGGGAAAGGAAGGCATGGACCATATAAGGTAATGTAACAGGATAAAAACCAAACCAAACCAAACTCACTGCCATTGAGTAGATTCAGACGCAAAGCAACCCCCATTGGGTTCCCAAGGCTACAAATCTTTTCAGAGGCAGACCTCCTCATCTCTTTTTCATAGAGCAGCTAGTGAGTTCAAACCACTGACTTTTTGGTTAGCAGCCAAATGCCTTAACTACTGCACTACAAGAGCTCCTTTACCAAACTCACTGCCATTGAGTTGATGACAGAGATAGCGACCCTTTGAGACAGAGTAGAACTGCCCATTGGAGTAAGATAAAGGATTTCCTACAATCTTTCTTGTGAGATTTTTTTCTTTGTGCTTTGCATGTGACCTAAGTAAACTCCCCTCACCTGGACTGTGCCAACAGTGATCTTTCTCAGGATTTTCTCAATATTCCCCCCACCTAGGTTATTGACAAAAGCACTGTGCTTCTTAATGTGTCATCACAGCTATTAGGGTTCATGATCATCATCTGTTTATACAAATACTTTTACTACTATCAAAATTTGCTAAATAGTCTCATATCTTTCCTTATTTTCCCTGTATCTGTCCACTGCCTCCTTTGTCCATGTTTTGCCTGATACCTCTCATAGCTATGTCCCAGAGTGATCCCTCCTACTTGTTCAGTTCACTGTGTTCTTATCATTACTAAAGGAATTCACCAACTTTGAACTTTTCCAGTAAGTTATTCCTAAACAGAAATCCCTGGGTACCACAAACACTAAAGCTTTCAACTACTAACCTAAAGGTTGGTTGGTGCTTTGAAACTACCCAGAGACACTCAGAAGACAGGTCTGGAAGTGCTTTTGAAAGATCACAGCCAATGAAAACACTATGGAACAATTCTATTCTACACTGATGGGGTCACCATGAGTTTGAATAGAGGTGACAACAACTAACAACAAATTCCTAGTTTACCAAATGACAGGAATATTTAGGGTTTTTTGTTTTGTTCTGTTTCTGTTTCCTACTCAATAATTTACGTGCATTTTCTTTTGGGACGTTAGTTTTAATCCCTTCAGTTTAACAGCATTCTTCCCACTTCTTCCCTGAGTTCTCTATTTTCATTCACCTATCTTTCCTGCCCCTTCCTCCCTTCTGAACTTTGCTTATGGGTAAATGTTACCCTTTTGGTTTCATATGGTTGATTGTTCTGAGGAGTACATTCCTTACATGTGTTATGGATCACTTTGTGTCTATTTTTTGGTTGAAAGATGATCTCCAGGAGTTTGTTCAGTTCCAGGTTTCAAGGTTTTAAGGACCATAGTCTAAGGACTTCTACCAGTCTCTATGAGAGCAATAAATCTTGTCTTTTTTATAATTTGGAATTTTATTTTACTTTTTCTCCCTCTCTGCCCAGGAACTCCTATTGTGATCCTGATAAGAGTGACCAGAAGTGGTAACTGGGCACTACCTAGTCCTTCTGGCCTCAGGCTCATGGAAGATGTAGTTTGTGTGGTCCATTAATCCTTTGGAATAATTACTTGTTTTAATCTTTGATTTTCTTCATTCTTCTTTGCTCTAGATGGGGAGAGACCAATAGTTGCATCTTAAATGGCTGCTTGCAAGCTTTTAAGACCCCAGTCACTATTCACCAAAGTAGGATGTAGAACATTGTGTTTAAGGACTACGTTATACCAATTATCCTAGATGTCTCCTGGGACTTTGGCCTGAAGCTCTCAAACACAGTGACTCAGTCCCTCAAGGTGTTTGGTTACGGCTAAAAGGTTTTTATAACTTTACCCCCTGTGTGATATACTATACACATGGATATATTTGCAACACATAAAAATTTTGTTGGTGGTGTTAGGTGCCGTCGAGTTGGCTCCAACTCACAGCGACCCCTATGTACAACAGAATGAAACACTGTCCAGTCTTGTGCCAGCCTATATATAAATATCCTCTGCCAAACTTATATATGCTTATTATGTACTCTCATACATCATTCCACACCTTTTCAGCTTATATATCTGCCTATATATCCATTTGTAAATTATTATTTTTCTTATTTTTCTTATAGGATTGTGTCTGTAGTAGTATTCACCATTGTTACCTTTCAGTCTGTGTACCTCCCAGTGTCTTCCCTTGTCTTGGTCATGTTGTCTTGGCCTCCCCCAATTGTCTATTGCCTTTCCCTTCAGCCAAGTTAATACATGTCTACTATCAAGTTAGAGGAGCTCTGGTGGCATAATGCCTAAGGCATTTGACTGCTAACCAGAAGGTTGGCAGTTCAAACCTACCAGCCACTCCATGGAAGGAAGACTGGGCAGTCTACTTCCATAAAGATTTACCACCTCAGAAACCCAGAGGGGGTCACTATCAAGTTAGTAATTTTCCCTTCTTCCCCTCCCATTCTTGGTAACCAGCAATGAATGTTTCCTTCTGGGTGTAAGCCTTTTCTTGACTTTTAATAATAGTGGTCATATATAATATTTGTCCCTTTGGGATTAATTTATTTCACTCAGCAAAATGTCCTCCAGGTTCATCCATTTTATGAGATATTTCATGGATTCACCATTACTCTTTTTTCTTTATTATTTTTTTTTATTGTGATTTGGGTGAAAATTACAAAGCAAATTCACTTTCCATACAGCAGTTCACATCACTTTGTCTCATGACATTGACTATAATTTACCCCAATGCAACAGCTCCCCTCCCACTTCCTCCCAATAGTTACGTCTTCCCTGTGTCCATTCCTCCATGCATTACTCTTTAACATAGTGTAGTAATGGGCCCTTAAGTTGTTTCCATCTATTTGTTATTGTGAATAATGCTGCAATGAACATGGGTATGCATATGTCTATTCAAGTTACAGATCTTATTTCTTTAAGTTATATATCTAGTAATGGGATTGTTGGATCACAGCTTTTTAAGAAAATGCCACAATGCTTTGAATAGTGGCTGTACCATTGTAAATCCCATCAACAGTGTATTAGTATCAATTTTTAAAAACTATTTGTTTCTTTGACTCCAATTCATTGGCCACTACAGAAAATGAACAGGTATCTTTATTATTAAAAAAAAAAAAAGTGACTTTAATGTAAAACAAGCTCTTAAACTAAAAAAGAAAAAAAATAAAAAAAAAAACTTACACAAAATTTAACTTTCATATATAATTTATTAAATTGATTTTGTATTTCCTGGCTATTTTCAGTTATGTATGGAAATATATATATATATATATATATATATATATATATAAAATGAGTTATTGGAGCTCTGGCACAGTGATTAAGTGCTGGACTGCATGCAAACCAAAAGGTCAGTGATTCAAACCCACCAGCCACTACTGGGGAGAAAGATGTGGCAGTTTGCATCTGTAAGTATTACAGCCTTGGAAACCCTATGGGGTAGTTCTAATCTGTGCTGTAGGATCACTAAAAGTCAGAATTGACTCAGTGGCAATGAGTTTTATGAACCATACTCAGTGATGCTTCTCATTTTAAATCCAAAGCTTCTTGAGGTCAGGGACTTTGTCTCTTAATTTGCTTTAGTAGGTACAGCTCCATGTAGACATTATGGCTTAATAATACTTTTCATGAAGTAACATGAACATCAATCAACTGAACTATTTTAAGTACTCCCCATCCATCATTGATGCAAGTTCTCATAAATTCAGGACACTTATTTAGCACTGTTCTTAAAGCAATTACTGACAAGCTGCCCACGAATCAGAAACATTTTCATGCTTGGGATTTCAGGTTTATTCCATGATTTATTGACTTGGGACTGAAAAGTTTGAATTAGAAAAGTAAACTAAAATTAGACTCTATAAATCTCTTTTCCCACAGCTCCACAAGAGGTTCAGCCACCAGTAGCCAAATCTCTTCCCAATTCTTTGTTAGTCTTCTGGAAACCACCCAAACAAGCAAATGGCATTATAACTCAGTATTCTTTATACATGGATGGGATGCTGATCTATTCAGGCAATGGGAAAAATTATACAGTCACAGGTAAGACTTACCAGAATATTTAAGAACTTGATTTCTGAAATTAGGTTATTTATTTTCATCTCCTGTGAAATCACTTTAATGCCATGATTTTTATGGTCACATTAGAACTGTGGTGTAGACCAAAGCTTAAAAAATAGCAGAGGGATCATGTTCTCTCCCTACTCACTCCACCCAGGATGTCTTACTGTATTTTCCCTACTGTAGATCCCATTACTGCTTACCCAAACCCTTCTACTAATATACTGTTACTCAGGTCCAGAGTTGACATTGGAAATGCATGGCAGAGAGGGCTCAGTCTATAACTCTGCCTTCAAATGACCACAGGATTGAAACTGGGACCCAGTGAAGTGCCCAGTCACTCTGACATTTCCTGATTGATTCAGTGATGCCATTTCAAATAAATCCCACTGTCCCATGCATTAAAAACCCCTGGTGGTGCAGTGATTAAGAGCGCCACTGCTAACAAAAATGTAACAGTTCAAACCCACCAGGTGCTCCGTGGACAAGAGATCTAGCAGTCTGCTTCTGTAAAGATTTATAGCCTTGGAAACCTGATGGGGCAGTTCTTCTATGTCCTTGAGGACTGTGGATTTTTGGTGGGTCCCATGCATGGGGCTACCTACTTTCAAAATCTCATCAATGTGGCCTAACCTTAAGACTCAGAAGTGTGATTCTGTATAGTTTGAATTTTAGACTCATTAAGAAGAAACATAATATGTATGTCCAGGTCATGTTATAGAGTGTAACTAGACACTAATGTAAAATAAATTGTTAAAAAAAACTTTCTAAACACAGAGGCCTACATTATGTATATTGTCTGGTGTCTGCACAGTGTTTGTATTTGTAAAGTACTTGGAGTGTTTATGTACTTTATATTACTTTCATATACTATATTTGACTATTAGGTTAGGCATTATTAATCAAAATTTAATTGATGAAAAATGGAGGCATAGAGATATTAACTTCCTTATGAAAGGTCACAACAATCTAGAGTCAGAGGCAGGATTAATTATTTATGCATTCACTCATTCACATTAATGCCAGCTATAAGGTTATAACACAGAATCAGCCAGACACTGTCCCTCCTCTGGTGGAGCTCACAGCTTCATGTAGTTCTGAGGTGTCTAAGGACAGTTATATGGCATTCATCCAAATGTAGTTCTGAGGTGTCTAAGAACAGTTATATGGTATTCATCCAAATACATTTTCAGGGCTTATATTTTTTTGTATCCTCTCTAGTCTGAGAATCCTAAGAGGACAAAAACCATTATTTTTATATTTTATTCATCATTGTTGGAAAGAATACTATAGTATACATTCTGTGAAAAAGACATTATTGTTATCTCCATTTTACAAATGAGGAAATGGAGCCATAGAAAGTTAAGTAACTTCCTCAAGGTCGCAGGGCCTGTGTGGTAGACTTTGACACCAACCCAAATATTTGGCTATGTTGAAAAGAGTAACAAGTTACTTAACTTCCTGAGACTTATTTCTGCATTTATAAAATAGGAATAACTATAATTTTTAGAATTTTGTAGAATTATAGCCATATACAAATAACCTAGGACGGCACTTAGTAACAGAAGCTATAATTATTATTTCCTGTAGACTGCAGAACTCATAAACTAAAAGATATTGATCTCTCTCTAACAATATCTGAAGCCATTATTATTTCATTTTAACTAAAATTTTATAGACCACAGTAGTAGTATTTCAGAGAAGAGAAGATGAAAATATTCCCTGGAATGAACTTTGCATAATGTATTAATACTTTATACATGAAGAAGTTCTGAAGGACCAAATATATCATAGCACAGAGTAAGAAATCACACTCTTTAGACCCAGAATGGAGTCCCTAGGTACAAAAGAGTAACACACCTTGCTACCAACCAAAAGGTTGGAGGTTCCAGTCCATTCAGAGGCACTTTGGAAGAAAAGTTGGTGATTTACTTCCAAAAAATCAGCCAATGAAAACCCTATGGAGCACAGTTCTACTCTGACACACGTAGGTTCACCATGATTAGGAATCAATTTGACAACTGTTTCTTTTTTAGGCCAATGTAGATATTTACTCTAAGAAGCCTTTGTGACTCTGCAAGTATGAATTATATCTGCCTCCTGCATCTCACTGAATACCTTGTTATCCCTTTCCAGCTTTTTTTTTTTTTTTTTGGATTGAGTTGAATAAAGCTGCCTGCTTACTGGATGGTTTGCCCTTTTAAACCATAAGCTTTTTAAGGACATGGCCATTTCTGCTTGTTCATTATCACAGTGTGGGTATAGAATACACAGGCTTGCATACATGAATGAATACATTCAGATAACTGTTGGGAATAACAAAAGAAGATAACTAAGGGGAACTGATGGAGGGTAGGATTAGGAAAGAAAGAAAAAGCAATAAAGAAAGGAGTAAAATAGATAGCATCTAGAAAAAAAAAAATTAAGCTCCCTTCCATGGGAAGCTCTGGTGGCATAGTGTCTAAGGCACTTGACTGCTAACCAGAAGGCTGGCAGTTCAAATCCATCAGCCACTCCCCAGAAGGAAGATTGGGCAATTTACTTCCATAGTGATATCACCTCGGAGATGTGGGTTAGAGGAGGGGTCACTATGAGTTAGACCCAACTTGACAGTGGTGAGGTTTTTTTTTTTTTTTTGGTCCATGTGTAGAAATGGGTGGTAACATGGTCCACAAGGAAGTGGTGCTGCTGATAGCAAAGTTCCAAACTGTGAGCCTTGAGTAATTCCAAAATGTGCAGATTGCTTTATGAGGTGACACTGCACAGAAACAGAAGGAGAGCTGTTCGGGGAGGACAGGAAGGGCATAGTCACATCAGTTTCTAATAGTACCTACAAAAAAAAATACTAAATTCTGTGCTTGGTTTGATTGAATTGACAACAGTGCCAGGTGATGATGTAATCTGCAATGATGTGGCAAAGCTTACCATAATGGATTAGTATGTTAAATGACACAAATAGAATATATAATAAAGAAAGTGCAGTGTTTTAAAGGTCTCCACAATTGTCTTCTCTAGATACAGTAGTGGTAGGTTCTTAAGAGATTTTCAATCTTTATGTAGATTTTTAAGGACTATATCTCTGATATCGGGAGCTCTGGTAGCATAGTGCCTAAGGCACTTGACTGCTAACCAGAAGGCTGGCAGTTCAAACCCACCAGCCACTCCTCAGAAGGAAGATGGAGCAATCTATTTCTGTAGTGATACTGCCTTGGAAACCCAAGGAGGGGTAGCTATGAGTCGGATCTGACTCGACGGCAAATAACAACAACAACAACATCTCTGATATCACCTGTAAGAATTTTTCTATATGGCTTCTCACAGGCAACTCTATCTCTTGTTGCTTTCATTGCCAAATGGCTCAAAACATGAAGTGTGTTGAGTTTGCAGTATTGGTCAGTAAGGAGAGAAGCTTAGCTGAAAAACTTAAGGTGGAGTTCAGAGCACAGTATCAATCTCTGCTGACATATTGGATTACATAAATGAAATCAGGGAGATTTCTAATCAAAAGGAGTACAGAAACATGGTAGGCTTCAGGGAGGAAGGATCTAGTTCCATGACTGGACAATGTTTTGTTTAGAAGTTGAACAAAGTTTCAACAATAGGTGAATCTGGATAAGCAAATACCAAAAGCTATTTTAATAGAGTAGAACAATTTCTATAGGATATCTTGTTAATAAATAAATAAATAAATAAAAGCTGCTGCTGCTCCCTAGCAGTGAGTTGCCCCCTCAGTGGGGTACATGTACAATGCCACGACACTATGGTCCAAGAAACCATCAGAATCATTAGGAATGCATTTTTAAACAAGTAGATTCCTGAACATACATTTGCAAATTTGACTCAGGTTCTCTGAGTTGAAACCTTAAAATTTACATTTTGGAAAATGCTTTCCCAAGTGATTCTAGAGAAGAACCAAATTGGAGAACCACTGCTCTTGAGGATTTTTAGGTCTATGGCAGTGCTTCTCCAAGTGTGGTTTGTTCGTATTCTCCATCAAGATCACTAGAAGTTATTATTACAAAGGGCAGTTGAGAATTTGTAGGAATGGGCCCAGGAGAATGCATTTCCAAATAAGGACAAAGGTTCCTTTTTAGGTACTCCAGATTTTGAGAATAAGCCACTAAGATCTCTTCATTTTACCCCCAAAGGAATTAGAGAATAATATATTTTCTTCCTTCACCCAAAAAAAACAAGAAGAATTTTTTTCCAATTTCACAATAATAATAATAATAATAATAACAGTGACTTCTTGTTGTTATGTGCCGTCGAGTCAAACCTGACTCATAGCGACCCCTCCTTAGGTTTCCGAGGCAGTATCACTTCAGAAGTAGGATTACCCAACCTTCCTTCCGAGGAGTGGCTGGTGGGTTTGAACCGCCAGCCGTCTGGTTAGCAGGCAAGTGTCTTAGCCACTATGCTACCAGAGCTCCCAATAATAGTGACTACATTGGACAAATTTAGTGAATCTTATCTACTAATTTTCTTTTTCTCTAACCAAAAGTAGGTTCTATATAATTTACTAATATACTATTATCCTGATCCATTCAATACTGATAATATGTCAGGGAAAAGCTAGTCACTTTTGGGAATGTTGGCAAACCAATTAAGCGTAAATGGTCACATTTTTTAAAAATTATAAATTACAGTGATAGTGCTAACTGAGCATATTCTAGTGCTAACATTATGCACAAATTTCTATGCATGTATATGTGTGTGTGTGTGTGTGTGTGTAAATACATACATACATGCATATATATGTATAGTTAAGGGCTTAACTGGTAACATAAAGGATGGAGGTTCCATCCTACCCAGAAGCTCCATGGGAGTCCTAGCAGTCATTTCCCATAAAGACTAAAGCCTAGCAAACTCAATGGGGCACTTCTACTCTGTCACATGGGGTCAGTATGCCACTGCCACTGCCATCGAGTCGGATCCAACTCATACGACCCCTTGTTGGGTTTGTGAGGCGGTATCACTACAGA